GTGTGCGTGTGCGTGTGTGCCGAGATAAGATGAGGGAGGGAAAGAGATTGGGCTAGGAGAGAAAAGGGAAGGAGGACGAGGAAAGAGACAAGAGATTCAGGCAGACAGACTGATAGTGAGTCAAGATAACGCGAGATCGAGCAAGAGAGGGAGATTGATGGGATGAGAAAGAGGGAGTGTTTGGGGAGTGAGTGAGAGAGGGAGAGTGAAGGGAGGGTGAAGGGAGGGTGAAGGGAGGTGAGGTAGAGCGAATGAGAGAGAAAGAAAAAGGGAGAGAGCGTGAGAAAGAGAGAAAGAGAAGGGGATGAGATAAAGAAAGCGAGAGAGACGGCAGAGAGGGAGAGAGAGCAGGCCTCACAGAAGTGGAGCGAAAAATGAAGAGGGAGAGGAGAAGGATAAGAAAGGATCACTGTGTAAACAATAATTATTAGCTAAGCATATCTGTCTGCAGATAGCTTACCATGCGACACACACCGGCAGTATCTAGTATCACAAAACTTCGCAGACTTCTCAGCAGCAGTTCGATAAACCCAGAGAAGCCATCAGCACTGGCTACATGCATTTACGAGAGTAAATATTAGCATAATACTTCAAAAGTTTGTCGCTGACTGGCTTTCAGCATGCCGAATCTAAGTGCAACTCTTTGACTAAACGTGATCGGATGTGTGTGTCGTCTACACTCTCTCGTTTCCTATTCCTAGTGTATGGTTTACCGCGTACATGCGTACCCTACCATTACACTCAAGTCGCCCGCGGTTGCTTAACCGGTATCACTTATTCAGTCTCTTCCAACATATCGCGTGCGTAAGCGCACTCACACGCTCATGCACGCAAACATGCACTCATTTACGTACACATGCACGCACGCGCACGCACACATGCACACACATACGCGCTCACACACGCGCACTCAGACACGCGTTCACATAGGGAGAGAGAGAGAGACCGAGAGACAGATAGAAGGAGAAGAGAGAAAGAGAGCATAATGTAAAACGAAAGAGGGGAGAAAGACAGACAAACACGGAAAAACATGAGACAGAGAGAAGGAGGGAAAGATAGAGGCAGAAATAGAAAGAAAAAAAACATGGAGAGAAAACAGTGCACAAGCGAGAGAGAGAGAGAGAGAGAGAGAGAGAGAGAGAGAGAGAGAGAGAGCACGAGAGCGATAAAGTGCGAACAAAA